TTTTATTAGAGTTCATGAAGAGAAATGCAAAACTTAATCTCAAATGTATTTTTTGTCCAACATTAATCTAAGCAAGATAAAACATGATGAAAAAGAGATAGATAAATAAGGGGGGGGGAGATAGAAAAGAGCTTTCAAGAGGAAATAGAAAAGATAAAACTTCAGAGATTAAAGAACTTCTGATGCTTCAGTGTCTGTTATACTCAGAGCAGACCTGTTGAAATTAAGGGACATGGCTAATCTGGGTCCCTTAATTTCTAACTCTGAGTGGAAGTTAGTTAGATGCAAACTCAAATATTTCTTTAATCAGATTCAAGCCTTTAAGTATTTATATTTATTTCACTCCTCCTGTTTGCCCTTACAAGTCAAAACAGTAGACCCCTTCCCAGAACGCTTAAAACATGGGTAGGCAAACTAAGGCCAGGGGACTGGATCCGGCCCAATCGCCACCTAAATCCGGCCCGTGGACGGTCCGGAAACCAGTGTGTTTTTACACGAATGTGTCCTTTTATTTAAAATGCATCTCTGGGTTATCTGTGGGGCCTGCCTGGTGTTTTTACATGAGTAGAATGTGTGCTTTTATTTAAAATGCATCTCTGGGTTATTTGTGGGGCATAGGAATTCAGTTTTTTTTTTCCTTTCCAAAATATAGTCTGGCCCCCCACAAGGTCTGAGTGACAGTAGACCGGGCCCCTGCTGAAAAAGTTTGCTGACCCCTGCCTTAAAATCTAAATTTTACAAGAGGGGAAGACAACAGAGGAGAGAGCAGGGGAGGAAAGAGAGAATCAGAAGTGTCTGGGAAAGAATAATCGCACGTGGAGTTGCACTAACTCAAATGGCTTGCTTGCTGTTGCTGTAATGCTGGCGGGAACGGCACCCTAAAAGTCTGCTTCCCTGCACCAGAAACACTGATGCCACAAAAATAATTTGCATTTTTTTCCTCTGAGAAAGAATACACCTTGCCTTGGGGCCTCTCAGTTTTACGTTACCCACGTGGTTTTTGAAACTGTACCCTGCAGGTGGATGGAAAAGTCAGCATGAACGGAGAAGCTGTCAACGGAGTGGAAGAGGAACGAGAGAGAGAATGCACAACGTTAATATTTGCCCCTTCGCCAAGCCGGTTGCCAAAGTCCAACAGTGTGGTGGACGGTTCCTCAGTGGAGGGGGAACAAAACAGCCCTAGCACCGAACTTGTTCTAAAACGGCTCATCGAGCACAGCAAAGACAGAGCGCAGACGGTAAGGACCATGCCATCAGATTGGCCATGCTTTGCAATGGGGGTGGACCAACTTTCAGTCTCTCTTTCACAGTGCATTTCAGATGTCCTTCAAACCAATAGTGTGCCACCAGTGAACTAGGAACTAGGCTAGTCCCATGAATGTTCCCAGTAAATTAGAGTAAAGGTAAAGGGACCCCAGACCATTAGGTCCAGTCGTGACCGACTCTGGGGTTGCGGCGCTCATCTCGCTTTATTGGCCGAGGGAGCTGGCGTACAGCTTCCGGGTCATGTGGCCAGCATGACTAAGCCGCTTCTGGCGAACCGGAGCAACGCACAGAAACGCCGTTTACCTTCCCGACGGAGCGGTACCTATTTATCTACTTGCACTTTAACGTGCTTTCGAACTGCTAGGTTGGCAGGAGCTGGGACCGAGCAATGGGAGCTCACCCCGTCGCGGGGATTTGAACCACTGACCTTATGATCGGCAAGTCCTAGGCTCTGTGGTTTAACCCACAGCGCCACCTGCGTCCCTAGTAAATTAGAGTATTAAAGCATTAATGCCTGGCACCTCCTTCCCAAAGGGAAGCTTCTGCCAAGCTTAAGGAGGGAGGCGAGATCCTCGCACACGCGTCAGGAGGTCATGACATCACTCCCCCCCATTGCTCCAGCAAGTTGGCTCCTCTGTCCCTGTTTCCCTGCAAAAAACAACAACACTGCATGCCACTACTGTTTTTGGGGGACAGGAGGCGGGCGAGTGTGGAGGACTCCCTGGTCCTGAATGGGGTAACTGTGCCCCTGAAGGACCCGGTGCGCAGCCTGGGAGTCAGTCTGGACTCACAGCTGTCCATGGAGGCATAGGTCAATTCAGTGTCCAGGGCAGCTGTTTATCAGCTCCATCTGGTACGCAGGCTGAGACCCTATCTCCCCGCAGACTGCCTCACCAGAGTGGTGCATGCTCTAGTTATCTCTCGCTTGGACTACTGCAATGCACTCCAAGTGGGGCTACCTTTGAAGGTGACCCGGAAACTACAACTAATCCAGAATGTGGCAGCTAGACTGGTGACTGGGAGCGGCTGCCAAGACCACATAACACCTATCTTGAAAGACCTACATTGGCTCCCAGTACGTTTCCGAGCACAATTCAAAGTGTTGGTGCTTTCCTTTAAAGCCCTAAATGGCCTTGGCCCAGTATACCTGAAGGAGCGTCTCCACCTCCATCGTTCTGCCCGGACACTGAGGTCCAGTGCCGAGGGCCTTCTGGCGGTTCCCTCGCTACGAGAAGCCAAGTTACAGGGAACCAGGCAGAGGGCCTTCTCGGTAGTGGCACCCGCCCTGTGGAATGCCCTCCCACCAGATTTCAAAGAGAAAAATAACTACCAAACCTTTAGAAGACATCTGAAGGCAGCCCTGTTTAGGGAGGCTTTTAATGTTTAATAGGTTATTGTATTTTAGTGTTCTGTTGGAAGCCGCCCAGAGTGGCTGAGGAAACCCAGCCAGATGGGCGGGGTATAAATAATAAATTATTATTATTATTATTTTAAATGCTTCCCCGGCCACATGGCAGCTTATTTGTCAGCAGATCCCACCAGCTGGGCCATATCCAACACCACAGTTCTGCTGATGCAACAGACTTCCATGCGCACAGTGCAAGGAACCCTCAAATTCAGCTCTGGGAACTGGGCAACCCTTATAGAGCAGATTTGGGGGGCCCATGGGGAGAATAGGAGACCCAATGTTAATTACGCGGAATGGGCCAATGACTTGGGTCTTTTATATGGATGTCGATTTGGGGGGAAAGAGCCTCTTTTCACATGGGTTAGATCATATTTGAAATTTCAAAAATAATAATTTGTACGGCACTTACATTTTAACTGTATTGCATTCTTGGCTTTTGTAAGATGCTCTTGGGAACTTGGTTGAGGGGTGGGATAATTTATTTTTTTTAACAAGGAAATAAAATTAGTGTAATTAAGGTCGTTTAGATGGAATCCTGTGCTACATGGGAGCCATTCACAGGGAAGTCGGCTTACCTTAAATGGTTGGCCGGTGTACAGGCCCTGCAATGATCCAGTGAAGGGGCAAGGGTTTGGCTGCTTACCTGCCAGCGAATCGCCAAACTGGTAGGCTTTATATAGGCCTCCTCTTAGGGGCTGGTTCGGCCGGCCAATCAGCGCCGTCTGGGCCTCCACGTAGGTGGGATAAATTGCAGCCTGAGTCGGCCGTCCTTGCTAGCCTCTTGCAAGATGAACAGAACTATGGTTTGTTTTGTTTTGTAAAGGCCAAATTAAAAGAATGGTTTCAAATTTTCTTCAAACGAACCAGAGTAAAGGGTAACCATAGTTTGTAATTTCATACAAAACGACAAACCATGGAGAAGCAAAAGTTTCCAAACTTCTCTTTCCAGTCACATAGGTGGAAGAGAGGAAAGAGGTATACAATATGCAAGCCCAGGCTTACTGTGGCTCACGAGGGCTCGATTGCATTGCACTCAGTTGCGGTTTAGTGTGGCATGAAAGCATGGCCAATATAAAAGTTTGGAATATTGTTCTGTGATGGAAAACCAAACAAAAGCTTGATGTTTTCTTCATTCCCATTTGCAAGTTGTTCTTGCTGTTCAGCTCAGTGACCCTTGCTGCGAAGCAGTCTTAATTCAAGCCAGTGTGTAACTGCTCTAAAATACGTGGCTTAATTAACATCCCATCCACTCTGAATTGGAGGAGCCAATTATGCTGTTGCATGAGGAAAAACACAAAAGTTTGTATTTGTTCTGCCTGTGGATCGACAGTAATATAAATGTTCTCTGCAGGGCATCTTGACGGAAGAAGCTAAATCAATCAACCAAAACGAGAAAACCGATTCGGAAAGACTGTCTCCAGGTTTGTTGCTTTAAGGAATATTATACCGTATGGGCTTTTTGTCTGTACACATACATAAACAGTGCCCTCTAGAGGTTTTGTGAAAGAAAGCTAACTTGTAATTAAGCAGTTTACAGCTGTGAACATCGTGTTTGTTTTTGCCTGGGTTTTAAAAGGCTTTTGATGGGTTACGATGTTTTTCAAAATAAAAGCATGGAAAATAACTTGGAAAGTATATAATGCATAAAACTTGATTTTTAAAACCCACATTACTTTCAACAGCAGGTCAACCAGTATGATGCCCTCAAGGTATCATAGAAGTACCATAGAACAGTCGAGTTGGAAGGGACCACCAGGGTCATCTAGTCCAACCCCCTGCAATACAGGAATGTTTTGTCCAATGTGGAGCTTGAATCCATGACCCTGAGATTAAGAGTGGGGGGAAATGGGAACAAAATTTAAATTAGTTATTAGCTTTTTAATTATTAAAGCTATGCATGTGTGGACAATCAATAAATTTTGAAGGAAGAGGCATGCAATATTTTGTTTTTATCCTTTGCAAGTATGTTTTTGTAGTGGGCACCATCTTAAGAGAGGCATTCCTTTCTATGTGAGAGCAGGTGAAATGCCTCCTTTTAGATGCTGCTGATCATCTGCAAAAGTATTTATATGAAAATAATACTGCATCTTTTGAGTGTATTGTCCGATAGTTTCGGGCATCACTTTAGTCAACTTCATATTTCCAACCAGTGCTTTTTTTTCTGGGGGGGACAAAGGGGTACTTATACCCCTAAACCTTTTGTGAATCTAAGTTTGGCCTCATTGAGGGAGGAAAATGAGAGTATACCCATAAACATTTTTTTTAGAAAAAAAGCACTGTTTCTAACTGGCTAAAAGTTGTAGGCCTGTTTATTCTTTCTGCTTTCTAGAAATAGTGGCCATCGTTTACACTGGATTTTTCTTCTTCTGTGTGTCTACACACACACACACACACACACACACACACACACTTAAGACACACTTAGACATACAACATGCAATAGTTACATAAAATGAGAATTAAAACAAAGCAACAGTATATGCTCAGAGAAACGTTTCTGAATATATTTTCTGTGTGCCTTTTTATTGGATAACATTTTCAACATTCTTGACACGAGGCTGCACTTCTCTTTCTTATTTAATCGTCCTGATTGATTTTTTGTTTGCTTTTCCCTTGTTCCCCCAATCCTGCTTCAGGCCACAAAGAATTCAGCACAACTGCTTCCCGTGCCAGCCCTACTGTGGCCATGGCGGAGTTCTCTTCCGTCACGAACTCTTCCCTCAGTAATCATCGCAAGGAAATGGGCTCAAATGAGGAGCCGAAGAAACTTGAAAGGGGGCAACTGAAGGATGTAGAAGCACCAGTTATCCAGAAGGTAGTGTGATGCACTAAAACCTACAGTTGAGGATGATGCTAGACATGAGGCTCAATGCATCAGTTAAAAACTACACCAGGGGGAGGGTCGATTCTTCTGTCCAATGCCATAATCCCAATAAAAATCCCTCCTTCTGCACTCTGCTATTAGTCTGAAAACATATTCTTCTTTTCTGTGCTAATAGCATCCCAAGGATGGTTTTCATCAAGATGAGCAGACCAAGCAGTGCTGCCCCTTCAGTTTCACTGCTCTTCAACAATACAAATGAGGGAAACTTTCCCTTGCCACACACTGCAATAATAATAATAATAATAATAATAATAATAATAATAATATCCCAACCATCTGGTTGGATTGCTGCAGCCACTCTGGGCAGCTTCCAACACATATAAAAACCTAATAAAATGTCAAACTTTAAAAACTTCCTGATAAAGGGCTGCCTTCAGGTGTCCTCTAAAAGTTGTGTAGTTCTTTATCTCCTTGACACCTGAGGGGAGGGTGTTGCACAGGGTGGGCACCACTGCTGAGAAAGGCCCTCTGCCTGGTTCCCTGTAACTCCACTTCTCTCAGTGAGGGGATGGCCAGAAGGCCCTCGACGCTGGACCTCAGCGTCCAGGCTGAAGGATGGAGGTGGAGACACTCCTTCAGGTATACTGGGCCGAGGCCATTTAGGGCTTTAAAGGAAAGCACCAACACTTTGAATTGTGATTGGAAACGTACTGGGAGCCAGTGTAAGAAGAAGAAGAGTTTAGATTTGATATCCCGCTTTATCACTACCTGAAGGAGTCTCAAAGTGGCTAACATTCTCCTTTCCCTTCCTCCCCCACAACAAACACTCTGTGAGGTGAGTGAGGCTGAGAAACTTCAGAGAAGTGTGACCAGCCCAAGGTCACTCAGCAGCTGCATGTGGCGGAGCAGGGAAGCGAACCCGGTTTCCCAGATTACGAGTCTATTGCTCTTAACCACTACACCACACTGGCTCCTACGACTGTGTAGATCCTACGACTGGTGTTATATGGTCCCGGTGGCCACTTCCAGTCACCAGTCTAGCTGCCGCTAGAGAACACGTAGCTATTATTAATTTTTTTGAGAGTACAGAATAGTTCCTAACGACACATTTTGCGTCTTGTCTAGGCTGACTGGCAAAATGCAAGATACACAGCTGATTTTCGTTTTGCATTTCCACCATGTGAAGATGGAATGTGCTCATCTTTCCTACGAGGAGATGTGTACCCTCATGGGAAAGCGTTCGCACAAAAAGGGAAAGAATACTTTTCTGTTAGTCAGTTCTAGCTTGCAAATAGATTTAGAAGATTAAAAAGCAAGCTTCATTTATGCATCTGCAGAGCCGGGAATTTAGTCTAATATATTCCTGTTCAGACAGATGTAGGACTGTAACTACACAGGAAGGAGGTGATAAGGGAAAATGCATTGTGAATTATGTCAGCCAGTGCAAACAAACAAGCAAAAAAAATGTTTAGATATCCTCATTTGTTTTCATAAACAAATTAAAGCAATTATATTCAGACAAGCTGTTTTGTGATTTCCATGTGTCTGTCTTTATGACTTCTGGCCACTTCAGTGCATCTGTTTGGTTAGAAAAAGCAGACCATATATTCCGTAATAAATAAATGCAAGTTAGGCAGAATATCCTGCTTATCTGCTACAGCCTAGACTGTTTAATTAGTGCAGCTAAGAAATCCATCGATAGGCAGTGCTAAAAAGGAGGGTCTATATTTTGTATTCTATTTTGTTGTCTTAGAACTGATTCTAGTCTTCAAAAATTGGCCTAGGTAGAGACTTTGGAAGCCCCTGTGCAAGATGGAGGCATCATATTTCCACTTTTGAAGATAATCCCTGAGAGGAGCCAAGTGGTTTTGCAGAATTCTGCCCCACAAGGTAAACGAAACAGGAAGTGGGGAGGGAGGAAGAATTAGGGGTGTAGTCTCAGTGCATCCTTGAACATTTGCCAGAGGGGTAGGGGACAAGTCTGTAACATCATACTTTTGCTTTTTTTTAAAAAAAAATACAAGTTATGGCAGGCTTTTTGACCACACGTACAACCTCTTCATTCTCCTCTCCATGTCAGGAGCAAACGAATCAGGAAGTCTTCCGTTAACCACAGTTTTATTTTTCATCCAAACTGGGGGAACCATGGTTTACAGTTTCAGAACAAGCCAGGATCACAAGACAAGTTTTGAAGTTGGCTTGTTCTAAAACTCGTTATGATAATTTCTGAGTTTGAGGGGGAAACTACAGTTAACTGAGGACTTCTTGGCTGGTTCACTTGCTTGCTGGCTTTCATGAAGAAAGGAGTTGGTGTTCCTTATGTCCCCAGGTAGAATTCTCCCATGGTTGGCAATGGCAGAATAAAACTGAATCACAATGGGATTGTGGTCTTCCAGCAGCCTGGAGGCACTGAACCAACCTCACCCGTGCTCTGGTATTCTTAACCTCTATTCAGAAGCAGAACAGGCAGCCAGAAGTGTGAGGACTGTCCCTGGAAAAGGCTGATTCCTTTTCCTAGGACCGTTTCTTCACTGACAGCAGGAAGGTGGGAGGAGGAGACTTCTGTAGACTGAAGTACTGGGCGAACAGGGACTGTAGATTGCCTTCAGACCCTCAACAAGAAGCACCATGGAAACCTTTTGTTTATTTATTATTTGTTCAGTCTTCATTCTGCCCCTTCCTTTTCTCCCATCATTCTGGGCCTAAGATGGGCTACGAGATATAAGTAAAGCAGCCAAATCGCAATCAAAACAATCATGAGAGTAACACATCAAGGGTACAGGTTGCACTAGGACAGTATTAGTTTTGCCATTTTCTAGTTGCTTTCAAACATGGAATCAAGGAGTTGTCGAGTTGGAAGGGACCTCGAGGGTCATCGAGTCCAACCCCCTGCAATGCAGGAATCTCAAATACATGGCAGGTGTGTCAGGAGTTGAGCCTACACTCGACTAGGGGCATCCAACATCTGCTTAAAAACCTCCAAGGAAGGAGAGTCGACCTCCTCTCATCACCTCCACTGTCAAACAGCTCTTACAGTCTGAAGGTTATTCCTGATATTTACCGTATTTTTCGCCCCATAGGAGGCACTGGCCCATAGGACGCCCCTAGTTTTTTGGGGGGGAAATAAAGAAAAAAAATTATTTTCCCCCCAGGTGCGGGGCTGGGGCGGGGGAAGCCCCAGCTTCCCCCAACCCCAGCCCCCAGAACAGGCTGCTATCCGCTAGCCGTGGGAGAGCCGTGCGAAGTTGCGCGGCTCTCCCACGGCTAGCGGAGCGCTGCGCGAAGCCCGAAGCTTGGGGCGTGCTGAGCTCAGCGCGCCCCAAGCTTCTGGGTGCCGGCAAGCTCTCGCTAGCCGTGGGAGAGCTGCGTCTCCCACGGCTAGCGTAAAGCTCCTGAAGCCTGGAGAGCGAGAGGGTCGGTGCGCACCAACCCCCTCGCTCTCCAGGCTTCAGCGAAAGCCTGCATTCGCCCCATAGGACGCACACACATTTCCCCTTCATTTTTGGAGGGGAAAAAGTGCGTCCTATAGGGTGAAAAATACGGTAGTTGGAATCTCCTTTCCTGTAACTTGAAGCCATTGGTTCAGATTCTGGCCTCCAGGATGGGAGAAAACAAGCTTGCTCCATCTTCCCTGGGACAGCCCTCGCTTGATCTCCATGGGAAGCTAGAACCAACCAGCCCACTTTCACAAGATTTGTTAATCATCTTCCTGAGTCTCTTGGATGCTCTCTGGTCTCTGCTTACCTTTCACAGTGTTGTGTCTTTTCTTTTGTCCCCCCCCCCCCGGCCTGCCATCCACTCTAGAGTCGCCCAACAGCCCCAGCGTTCCGCTTAAGGTTCGGAACTCCTGGCGGCGGTACCAATTTTTCTCACAGTCAGGTAAAGTGTCGGCCTCGGATGCGGCCGCCTGCCCTCTTGCTACGCCGCATAGGTGTCTTCTAGAATGTGTCCAGAGCTGGTATCTCTGCCCATCGTCCTTGCTTTCGTAGAGAGTGCCTTTCCCAGTCGCGTAGTTGGCAAAGAGCTCACCCTCAATGTATAACAGAGCAATGCCACCATCTACTTTGTAAATCCGCTCCATAATACCGCGAAGCTGTCGAGATCAAAACCGTCTCACCAAAGATGGCAAGAGCTCTCTTGGTAACTGTGGCGCTGGAGTGACACATTCCCTTTCCCCACATGGGGAAATAGAACTTAGATAGCATGTGGCACTCAGATGTGGTCAAAAGCAGTAGCTGTTGGTAGCCAGCAGTAGCTTAGAACCTGAAGTTGACTTAATGCTGATGCTGTCCTTTCTCCATCTGCATAGAGGTTGGTGGAAGGTCTGTCTGTCTGCTTTCTCAGGGGGTTTCCCTCTCTAAAAAGTTGCAGATTATTAAGGAAAGATTTGTAGACTCTTGATATCTTTTTCTGCATGGATTCATCCTAAAGAGGTTGGCGTCACGAATTGACCGAACTGGGCAACTGCTAAGCAGGGGACTTACCTCTGACCCTGAGCCCATTGGCCTTGCTATTCATCCCCCTTACTTGCTGTCCTCTCCAAGCTCAGTGAGTGACAGGATCACAGAGAAAGGACACTTATTCTGCAGCACATTGGGCCTGGGGCAAATAGGGATAGATGGATCAGTCAGTTTCCAACCTGTGCCAGTTTCTCATGAATTCATTCACACCTTTGTTCTTTCGCATTT